ACAACCTCAATCACCTCAACCGCAACCACCGATACCCGAAGATACTGTAAAGGAACAAGTCACAGTTCCTCCCCTTCCACATCCTTCCAAACCTACCAAAAGATCCAAATGGGAATCTGAAAATGAAAGTGAGGAAGAAGCAGAAGAGCAGCAACAACAAAAACAGCGACAGAGAATATTATTAAAGAAACGAAGGACCAATAAGAAAGGCAAAATTCATATTGACTCTACTGAAGAAGAACAAGGTTCTCAAACTGACGAAGGAACAAAGCCTACAAAGCAACAACAGCCGCAAACACAAGCAGAGGATATCGATGTTAGTTCCCAGTCATCAGGACAACAAAAGTCTTTGATATCACCTAATGCTGCTGCTAGTGGAGCTACCCCCGAAAATTTAGAACTTACATTAAACGTGTCTCGTATCCCGAAACGTGAAACATCACAACATGCGTCTGTTAAACTAAAACCTCCTGAAGTGAAAGCACCAGAGCTCGCAGGGTGTCGTAGCGTTGATAACTACGAGAAATTGAATAGGATAGAAGAAGGCGCTTACGGTATAGTGTTTCGTGCACGCGACAAAACAACCGGTGAAATCGTAGCGTTGAAAAAATTAAAATTGGATAAAGAGAAGAACGGGTTTCCGATTACGTCGTTACGTGAGGTTGCCACCTTATTGACGGCAAAACATCCAAATATCGTCAATGTTCGCGAGATTGTGGTTGGCGAGACTTTGACACAGTGAGAATTTAAATTTTTTATTAGCATTCAGTTAAAAATCCAGTATACTTCACAATGATTTTAGAATCAGTATTTATAATTTAAATTTTATTATCAGAATTTTCATAGTCATGGATTTCGTTGAACATGATCTCAAAAGTCTAATGGAAGACATGCGTCGTCCTTTCTCACATTCTGAAATAAAAACCATCATGCTTCAATTATTATCCGCTGTTGCTATGCTACATGATAACTGGATTATTCATCGTGATCTGAAAACTTCTAATTTGCTTTTGAATAATCGTGGGCAAATAAAGGTTGCAGATTTTGGCCTAGCGAGATCTTATGGAAGTCCACTGGGGAAGATGACCGAATTGGTGGTGACTCTCTGGTACAGGTATGTTTAATAACATACATACAATATAACCACCCCCCCAACACACACACACACACACATATAATTGTTTTAAACATTGCCATTATCATTTCTTTTTTTAGAGCACCAGAATTGTTGCTTGGTGCAAAGAAATACTCGACTGCTATTGATATCTGGTCGGTCGGTTGTATTTTTGGCGAGTTGTTAAATAAAGAGCCGTTGTTTCCTGGTCGAAGTGAGATCGATCAGTTAGATCAGGTGAATTGGATTTCTATTTTTTTTTATTAATATTTTGATTTTTTGGTTATTTTTTGTTATATTTTTTTATCAATATATAAATAGGTCTAGCAAAATATCAATAAAACCCTATATGAATATATTTTACAGATTTTCAAATTGTTGGGAACTCCTGACGAAAGAACATGGCCTGGGTTTTCTATCTTGCCAAATTCTAGGACTTTTGTTTCGAAGCAGATGTATGTTTCC